AAAAAAAAAAAAAAAAAAAGAGCTGTGTCTCCACTTAAGTAAAGCAGGCCTAGGGATGTAGCTCAGTGTGAGAGCTCTGGATTCAACCCCCAGGACCAGGAGAGAGAAACCAACAAAAGCAACTACCTTAAACAGTTTCTCTGTGGTTTGCAAAGCAAGGCTGTGTGTCGGCCTCCAGACCCCGGCCCTGGGCCTGGGGCTGGTTGACCAGCTGCTGCCCCCATGTGGGTATGTGAGGAACTACAATGCCCTGCCAGGTGACACTGCGGAGAAGCAAGCCCCGCTATTTTTCAAAGCTTGCAGACACGGTGTGAGGCAAACCCTCAGGAGGGAAATGGTCACCGCTGGGACCAGAAGGGGCTGCCAAGATAGAATGAATGTAAATTTTTAGGCTCACGAATATTTATCTCGAATGTTTGCTATAGGCCAGTCCTGTGCCAGAAGATAAAAAGGACAGGAGAGCCAGGCGTGGTGGCACAGATCTGTAATTCCAACATGCAGGAGACTGAGGCAGGAGGATCACACGGAGTCTGGGGCCAGCCTGAACCACACAGCGAGATTCTATTGCAAAGGAGTGGGAGGGCTGACCCCTCCCTTCTGCTCCCCCTCAGAGACCCTTGGAGCCTGCGCCCTAGGAGCTGAGCATGACCCGGGACGAGGCCCTGCCAGATTCTCACTCGGCCCAGGGCTTCTATGAGAACTATGAGCCCAAGGAGATCCTGGGCAGGTAAGAGCCGGCCTGGACTCTCACAGGCCCTGCATAGCGGGCACCTTCTGCTTTTCCTGAGCCCTGTCCCCCTTGAAAAATCCCTGTTAGGGTCCTGCCCTCCCTAGCTTTGGGCTAGCTAGGGCTAGGGCTCGGGGATCAGACAAAAGCTTCAGCCCTGGGAGAGCACTGCTTCTTTCTCTATGCTAGGAAGTAATCAGGAGACCTGAGGCCAGAAGTGGGCACAGTGGTGGACATGGGTGATCCTGGCGCTTTGGGAGACTGAGGCAGTTCAAGTCCTACATGGACAACTTAGCAAGATGCTGCCTCAAAATCAAAAGGAGTGGGGATATGGTTCAATGGTACAGCATCCCCAGGGTTTGAGCCCTAGTATCGCAAGGAAGAGCGAACCTAGTCCCAAGGCCAGGCTTGTTAGGCCTAGCCCTGGGCAGATCAACCCCCTGGGGCTCTGTCCACCCCAGGGTCCAAGAAGCTCGCAGGGAGTAGGAGTGGTGGGTAAGGCAGGGCATCTGGGCCCTGGCCCTGACCGCAGGGCCCCGCCCCCTGCCCACCAGGGGTGTCAGCAGCGTGGTCAGGCGCTGCATCCACAAGCCCACATGCAAGGAGTACGCCGTGAAGATCATCGACATCACCGGTGGGGGCGGCTTCAGTCCTGAAGAGGTGCAGGAGCTGCGGGAGGCCACGTTGAAGGAGGTGGACATCCTGCACAAGGTCTCGGGACACCCCAACGTCAGTGAGTGGCAGCCAGTTCAGCTGGGGTCAAGCTCGTGGGGTACAGCTGGGAGCTCCCCAAAGCCCTGTACTCTGAGTGGCAGATGGGGCCGAGACTGAGTGCAGAGTTCCCACGTCTGCTTGTGCCTCTTGGCCTCCTAGGACACAGTTCTGTTCCCCCAAACCCGCAGCAGCCTTAGAGCCCTCGCCCCAGGTCCCGGCTCCTCTGCCTGAGCCCCGGCCACTTGGGACGAGCAAGCCATTTCCATTTCAGTACAGCTGAAGGACACTTATGAGACCAACACTTTCTTCTTCCTGGTGTTTGACCTGTAAGTACCCAGCCCTGGAGCCAGTCACAGTGGGGCCATTGGAAAGCCATGTTCTGCTCCGGCTCAGCACAGTCCGGAGATCTGTCCTACCCCTCCAGGATCAGGACACAGAATACACGTCAATTTCTTGGCTCAAGTTGCCGGGATTGAAAACCCAGTTTATGGGCCAGTCAAATAGCTCAGCAGATTAAGGCGCCTGCAAGCAGGCACAGGGCCAGGAGTTTAATCCCCAGGCCTGCTGTGCTGGCTTCTCCCCTGGGCGTGCTGAGACCACGAGACTGGGCGTGGTGGCACATGCCTATAATCCCAGCTCTTGGGAGGCTGTAAATAGGCGGATCACTAAGAGTCCGATCCAGTAGTGAGACCCTGAACACCCCATAGACCCTTCCCTAAAATACAAAGAAGAAAAGAAAACCTAGTTCCCCCTTAGGGGTTGGGTCATTTATTAGTTTCCCTTTTCCTGTTTTTTTGGATTTTTGCTCCGAATGCCTTCAGGGCAGGTTTGGCTGGCTGGAGTTGTGGGGCTCGAACCACAGCAACCTGAGCCTGACTGCTTTGTTGAAGCAGCACTTAAAGAACTGAGCTAAGGGGCAGGCCCCCCTTTTTCCTGTTTTGGTTCCATCCAGGGTCTTACTATATAGCTCAGGCTGACCTTGAACTCATTTTATAGCCCAGGCTAGCCTTGAACTTGCAGTGATCCTCCTGCCTCAGCCTCCTGAGGGCTGATTACAGTGACACAACACAGGCTGATCACAGGAGTGTGCCACCACGCCGGACAATTAGAAACACTTCCCAGGGGAGGGAACTCTTCACTCCTTCTCACTAGGGAAACCACTGCTGTAGGACTGTCTTGATTTCTCCATTATGTAACAGTAAAAGGCTGGATTTACATGAGGAAATCACTCAGGTAGCTCTAGTGAGTTTGTGCAGCATGATATGTGGCACTGGGGACTGAAGCCAGGGTTATACCCTCAGCTCTTTTTATTTTCTTACTTTGAGACAGAGGCCAGCTCAATGGCCCAGATTGGCCTCAAATTTGTAATCCCCAGACTTGGCCTCCTATGTGGTTGGGATCACAGACGTGCGCGCCTTGCCTGGCTCTGAGAGCAATTTATATATTTTTATTTTATTTTATTTTTGGCGGAACCAGGGATTGAACTCAGGCCCTTGAGTTTGCCAGGGAAGCGCTTATTCCACTGAGCCATCTCCCCGGCCCCTGAGATGCAGTTTAATCTGTCACATGTGACAAACTGTCAGCTCCAGGCAGGCAGGAGCCTGCTGCTGTGCCTGGCACAGTCCCCATCTTTACTGGTAAATCTTGGTTGTTGCTGATGTGAATTCTCCTAGTATCTTTCAAATGGATTAAAATGATAATAGGAAAAAAAAATAAAATGATAATAGGTTTTTGGATATAGGCCAGAAGTAGAGCACTTGCTAGCATACTCAAGGCCCTGGGTTCCATTGCTAGTACTGAAGGGGGGATTATAGTTATAGTTATATGATGGGTGTGGTGGCACACACCTGCAAACCCGACACTCAGGAGGCTGAGGCTGGAGGACTTTTTTTTTGGAACCGGGGATTGAACTCAGGCCCTTGCACTTGCCAGGGAAGCGCTTATTCCACTGAGCCATCTCCCCGGTCATGGAGGAGCATCAGGAGTTTGAGGCTAGCCTGGACTGCTTAGGGAGACCTTGTCTCAAAGAAAACTAGATTCTCTGTAAGGTTGTCAAACAGATTCTTAGTACCCCACCCAACAAGTCCAAGAGTCTTTTTGCTTCTTGCCAATGCTGGACACTAACCTGTCCCTCCATCACGTCCCCCTAGGATGCTACTGTTGGCCCCAGGGGGGTGGTGGGCTGGGGGCTGCGTACACCTGTGCCCATTTAACCAAAGGAGGCTTTTCCACCATCCTGCCTGGCCTGACCATAGCCACTGTCCTGCCGTGCCACCCCGTGTGAGGTTCAGAGATAGCGCAAATGTCCTTAACCTTTGAGGAGCCGCTGAGGAAGCTATCTGTACTGCTGCCCTTGGAGCCCTCCAGGGTCATGAGCAGATGGCTGTCACGGAGCTCTTTCTAGATCCTCCCAAGAGGTGAGAAGACAGAACTGCAGTTCTTCACCCTATAACAGCTTGTTTCCCCAACACTCACCACGGATTCCTTCTACCATTTCCCTGGGAAAACAAGAGTCAAGTCCTTCTGACTGGGCTGGGGTCTTGCACCAGTGGCTTGGTAGCCCTTTGCAACCCCAGCTCTGATTTGGGCCCTGATGGATCCCAGCCCCTGATGTCACTAGCACAAATAGGGTCCTGTCACTGTCCTCACCCCACCTCTCCAGCCTCACCTCCCCCAGGGCCTGGCCAGGGTGTAGTCCTCTTGGCCTGCAGGATATTAGGGGGCCGAGAGGCAGCTCCCTGGCACTAGGCTCAGAAGACGGTGTCCTTGGGACCTAGCCAGTGTCACACCCTTGCTTCCCACAGGATGAAGAGAGGGGAGCTCTTTGACTATCTCACTGAGAAGGTCACCTTGAGCGAGAAGGAAACCAGGTAACATTTTCTTACCCTGCCCCTCCTAGTTCCTTCCCCAAGTCCCAGGCCACAGGGCTGGGGTCCCATGGAGGCTCAAGCACTGCCACAGTAGCCACGTGCACTGCTGCCCTCGGTGCCTCCCTCCCTCCCATCAGTGCAGCTCACTCTCTTAACACGTGATCCCCAGCGTAAGTGCTGTGAGGTGGGACACTTACTCTGATAGCATCACGTGACTCTGGAACAAAAAACAAAGCCAAGAGGAGCTGTGGAGTAGATCAGTGGCAGTGCGCCTACTCAGCATGGTCAGGCCCTGGGCTCTGTCCCCAGTACCCCAGGACTCGCATCTTTACCAGCCCTGGAAAAGGAGTAATGTGTGTGTTCTCGGCCTCAGAAAAATTATGAGGGCGCTGCTGGAGGTGATCAGCGCCCTGCATAAGCTCAACATCGTGCACCGGGACCTGAAGCCCGAGAACATCCTGCTGGACGACGACATGAACATCAAGCTCACCGACTTCGGCTTCTCCTGTCAGCTGGAGCCAGGGGAGAAGCTGCGAGGTGCAGTATCGCGGCTGAAGCCATGGCAGGGCCCAGGGCCCCTCCTCAGTGTCCCCAGGAACACACTTTGCTGGGGGTCCCCCTGTCCCTTCAGATCCAGTAGCACCCTCCCACCTCAGCGGCTCCATCTAAGTCCTCTTTCCAGACTGAGCCGAGGCAGAGTCCAGGCCAGGATGGTTAAAGGTGGCCCCTCGAGCCCCTATGACCCCCCACCTGGCGTCAAGCCCCACTTCTAGTTCACTGCTGGGTCTTGACAGTAGCTCTTCGCAGAGGTCTGTGGGACCCCCAGCTACCTGGCCCCAGAAATCATCGAGTGCTCCATGAACGACGACCACCCAGGCTACGGGAAGGAGGTGGACATGTGAGTGGGGGCACGGATGGGGGTGTCGGGCGGCTCCCTCTGGGATGCAAGGTGAAGGAGGCTGTACCCCACAGGTGGAGCACTGGGGTTATCATGTACACCCTACTGGCCGGCTCCCCGCCCTTCTGGCACCGGAAGCAGATGCTCATGCTGAGGATGATCATGAGTGGCAGCTACCAGTTCGGCTCCCCAGAATGGGACGATTACTCGGACACGGTGAAGGACTTGGTGAGGCCGGGTGGGGGGCCCGGGCCTGCTCCCCTGGGGGACACGGTCAGTCGCAGTCGTGTGCTCAGCGCCCCCTGCTTCCAGGTCTCTCGCTTCCTGGTGGTGCGCCCCGAGAGCCGCTGCACGGCGGAGGAGGCCCTGGCGCACCCCTTCTTCCAGCAGTACGTGGTGGAGGAGGTTCGGCACTTCAGCCCCGCGGGGAAGTTCAAGGTGCGAGGCCGGGTGCGCCCTGTCCCTACACCTCTGCAGGGGTCCCTCACTGCAGGTGGGCTTCAGGGAAGGCCGAGGCTGCCGGGTGGTCCTGGTAGCTTGGGACGGGAGGGCCGACCGAGGACCGTGAGACGCCCCGGCAAGCAAGCCCGGCTGTCCCGGCCCGCAGGTCATTGCGCTGACTGTGCTGGCCTCGGTGCGGATCTACTACCAGTACCGCCGCGTGAAGCCGGTGACGCGGGAGATCGTCATCCGCGACCCCTACGCCCTGCGACCCCTGCGCCGCCTCATCGACGCCTACGCCTTCCGCATCTACGGGCACTGGGTGAAGAAGGGGCAGCAGCAGAACCGGGCCGCGCTATTCGAGAACACGCCCAAGGCCGTGCTGTTGTCGCTGGCTGAGGAGGAGGAGGACTTCTGAGGGGCAGGCAGCCTCGGGAAGCGGGTGGGAGGCCGGTGTCCCCATCCCCACAGCCCTGCCGGCCTCCTCTCGGTCCTGGTGCCTGGGTGGGGGTGGGGGGCTCTGCCCTGGGCTCCTGGTGAGGACAGGGACAGGGAAAGGGAAAGGTGTGCCACAGCTGCAGGCTTTAGTGCCCTGTGTCCAGGGCATGGCCAGAAGCCCGACAGCACAGCCCCATGAAGCACCACGGAAGCTTCGCTGTTTCTTCCACGAGTACTGTTTACTGCGTGACTTGGTTCTTCCAGACCTCTGAAGGCTGAAACAGGTTCCTGACCTGGCAGGGGACAACGCACAGGGTCAAGTGGGGGTTGCACCGCCTGTCTATAAGAATTTGGTAGGAAGCTGGGTGTGGGGCCGCGCATTCAGGATGCTAACCGGCCTGCTCTCCACGCACACCCGCCTGCCTGGGCCTCCTGGCTGTGGGAGGTGAGGAAGGGATGAAGAATATAGGTGCACTGGGAACACCCAGGGAGTGACAGGGCAGGTGCCAGCTCACAGCTCTCCAAGAGGCCGGCCCACGCTGGCTGCACAGCGGAAGCCCAGGTTGTCCGAGGCTGAATCAGGAGTATTTCCCATCCTGCCAACGGAAGGGGAGAAAGAACGGGTGTCTGCTGAACTAGCGAGGGGCTTGGCCTTCCAGGCCTCCTGGCCACACCCATGGCCCAGAGGTCTGTGTTCTGACTGGGGGTGGAGGGGGGCAGTCAGAACACAGCCCAGCAGGAGGGAGACCAGGACACAGCAGGGGAGGTGAGGACGCTGTGTCAGAATCTTCGAATAGCTCAGCTCAGACATGTGGAGGTCAGAAACCTGGTGGGCTTGCCTCTGCTAAAGGAGGGTCTCACGCTCTGTAGGCAAGGATCAGACCTGGGCAGGTGGAAATGTCCTGCCTGAGGCCATCCGGGCTGAAACCCAGAAACAATTAGTGACACACCCTGGTTTGCAGGTGGGGACTTTCTCTGTCTTTTGACCAGAAACAGAAGGTATGCCTCAGGACCCCAAGGTGGGAGATGACAGCAGCCTGGTCAGGCCCACTGCAGAGGCCCCTCTGGGGCCCTGGGAGCCAGGACCCTGGACCTTCTGCTTTTCATCATAAAACAGTCATTAAGGAGCAGGTTTTGTCTGCCTCCAGTGTGAAAAGCCAGTGATTCCATGACCACGGGCAAAGACCCACCCCTGTGGCCTTCCATTCACTTCCTGTCCCCTGGCTGTGGAGAGGGGACCCTGATGTCTCCCCAGATGTGAGAGCTGCCAGGAAAAGGCCCCCCAGCTATCTTGGTCCTTCTTGCTTTCTGGGGCCATGCTGCTTGCCTGCTCCCCTGCCTGTGACTCTGGGTGAAAGTGGGGTGCTGCAGCAGCATACACACTACCCCTGAGCTGGGGTCTCTTGGGCCAAGAACCTCACCTGGTGGTGACCCGGGCCCGGTGATTGGCAGAGCCATCAGCGGTGTCTATCCAGGATGCGCCCCGGAGAACACGCATGTCCTGCTTCGCAGGCTGGTAGGGTGACGCAGTCCACTCCCACACGTTGCCCACGAGGTCATAGAGCCCTGTGGGGAAAACGGGGTTCGGGGGTGCTTTACTCTGCGTCTTCCATCAAGCATGGGGATCCGTCCCACTGAGCAACCTGCAAGCAACACTGACAGGGACTTGCAGGAAGCCTTACCGTAGTCGTTCTGTGGAGGAAAGGCATTCACTGGGGATGCTCCATGGAAGCCATCCTCTGCTTTGTCACCTGTGGGGAACTTTCCCTGATGGCAGAAATGACAGCCGAAGGACAATCAGGCTGTCCCAGGCTGGATCTCACTACCCTAAAGGAAAGCCGAGCTCTCTTGCACTGCTGTCACAGGGCAGGGCACAGGTGGGCCCTGAGCTTCCCATCCAAGTGCCTGCCACCCTCTCCGGGACCTCCAGGGCCACATTCCCTCAGGGCCCACTGCAGTCCATGTCGGGCTCATCCTGTGCCTGCGTCACCCACCCTCGGCCTCTTCCTCTCCTGCTCACAGCCTGTGGCCATGACGCTCTAAAAAGAGAAGCATCGCCTGAGTTCAATCCCTGGTTCCGCAAAAAAAGAAAAGAAAAAAAAAAAGAGAAGCATCTCTGATTCTCCATGGTCATCAGAGCCCTTCCCAGCCCTTTGGGGTTACATGCCCCAGGCTGTCTCTCCCTCCTGCCACCAACACTTGTAACCCCTTCTCACCTGCCCTGACTCAACCTTCCTGCTTGCCTGCTCTTCACCAGGAACATTCTTTAAAATGTGACTGCCATTTGCTGACATCATTTGTTCAATTTCTCTGCATTAAAACTGAGCTTCAAATCAGGCGTGGTGGTGCACGGCTGTAATCCCAGCACTTGGGAGGGTGAGGCAGGAGGATCATTGTGAGTTTGAGACCAGCCCGGGCTACAAAGTGAGCTCAAGGCCAGCTGGAAGTGTACAGTGAGACCCTGCCTCAAAAAGACAAAAAAAAAAAAAAAAAAAAAAATTGAAACACAAAAAAAAACCCAAACTGAGCTTTAAGATGGTTGTGGTGGCACATGCCTGTAATCCCACCACTTCAGAGTTCAAGGCCTGTGTGAGCTACACAGTAAATTCAAGCTCAGCCCAAACTACACAAGGAGACCTTGTCTCAAAACAAAACAAAACAAAAAACAAAACAATACTGTGTCAATACATGCCTGCAAACCCAGCACTCAGGAGGCTAAAGCAGGAGGATCAGCATGAATTCAAGGCTGGCTTGAACTATATACTGAAACCCTCTCTCAATAAATAATAAATAAATTCATTAATAAAAGGTTTTTAAAAAATTTTAAAAAGAAAAAGGGGGGCCGAGGAGATGGCTCAGTAGGATAAGCGCTTGACTGGCAAACATAAGGCTCTGAGTTCAATCCCTGGTTCCGCCAAAAAAAAAAAAAAAAAAGAAAGAAAAGAAAAAGGGCTGGCAAGAGAGCTCAGCGGACTAAGCGCCTGCTTAGGCTAGCACAGGGACCGGGGTTTGATCCTCAGCACCACATGCAGCACCAGCCATGCCCCATGGGTGCACTGAGCCGGCCACCGAGACGGAGACCAGGCTTGGTGGCACACTCCTGTAATTCCAGCTCTGGGGAGGCTGTAAAGAGGAGGATCACTAGCAGTCCAAGCTGTGTAGTGAGATCTTGTACCAATACAGTAAAACAACAACAACAAATAAATTACAAAGAAAAACGGTGGACCTTTAAATGGAAGTGATTATGTCACTGGGCATTCCCTTAGGAGATGATTGTTTTGTACTTAATTCCTGTGAATGAGTGGGTTGTTATAAAGAGATGTCATTTGTCCCTTTATGCTTCTCCCTCTTGTTTTTTTTTTTTTTTAATTATTTATTTATTTATTTATTTTGTGTGTGTATGGCCACCTCAGCCCACCAGGGGGTGGGGCTGGCTGGCATGTGGTGCTGGGGGATTGAACCGCGGTCCCTGTGCTTTGCCTAGCTTAGCTTGTTCTAAGTAGGTGCTTTAGACCACTGAGCCATCTCACCAGCCCCTGCTTCTCCCTCTTGTGATAGGGCTGGGAGCCAGATGACTTTCGATTTGTCAGAAACCAAACACACGAGACTAGGATACAGGGCTCTTAGCCTGCAAAACTGTGAGCTGAGTGAACCAGCTTTTTTTTTTTTTTTTTTTTTTGTGGCTGGCTCAGGTTGCACTGGGGGCAGGGCTGGAGTGGCATGTGGTGCTGGGGAGTGAACCACAGTGGTCCCTGCGCTTGCCTAAGCTTGGCTAAGCAGGCGCTTTAGACTGCCGAGCTATCTCGCTGGCCCCCGTGCTTTCTTTATAAAATACTCAGCATCCAGTATTTCGTTACAGCAACAGAAGACAGATAAATATACGCTCAAGCCACCTGCTCTGACTTTGAGCGCTGCTCTAAGCTTGAGATTCTGATCGTCAACTTTTTAGTTTTGAGCTAGGGGTCCAGCTTCGGGGGAGCTGGACAAGTGGTCTACCACAGGCCCCCTGAGCATAGCCAGGACCCAAAGACACCCTCAACTGAGACCACCCTGAAATACCGCTGAGCTATCTCACTGCTCCCCCTGCTTTCTTTATAAAATACTTATCACTTATTTATTTTTTGAGGTAGGGGCTCACTGCATAGTCTGCCCCTGGGACCACCCTGGGCAGATCACTATCGCTACTCAGCCACGCCTGGATGCACGCTTGAACTCAGCCCTCCCATGCTGATGAAGTCCTACCCTCCATCTGCCTTCTTAGGTTCACTTCTTCTGTTTGGCTTCTTCCACCCCCACCCTGGTTTTTTTTGAGACTGAGTTTTACTGTGTAGCTTAGGCTGGCCTCAAACTCAGATCTCCCTGCCTCAGCCTCCTAAGTACTGGGATTACAAGCGTGCATGCCATGACCAACAGGCTGCCTTGCTCTGGCTTTCCATTTTCACATAATGTAAGAGTCAAGAGGCTGGGTCTCTGCCACAACCTCAAATTCAGAGACTTCCTGTCAGTTCTGCAGTCATAAGCTATCCTGCACAAATCAGCAGCAAGCAGCAAACATTTCTTCCTTAAAGCACAACATCCCTCTAGTCGTAAAGCCTGTGACAGGCCTGGAAATGTAGCTCAGTGATACAGTGTTTGTCCAGCAAGCGCAAGGCCCTGGGTTCCAGCCCTAGAACTTAATGCAAGAAGCAAAACATGCCAGTTGGCACAACACAATTCAATGCTAGGCACCGCGCTCATTTCCTAGGCTGGGATACCTTGTTTTTCCTTCAGTATTGACCACTGATTGGAGAACTTTTTATTTTATTTTATTTATTTATTTATTTTACATTTATTTATTGTGTGTGTGTGTGTGTGTGGCCAGCTCAGCCCACCAGGGGGCGGGGCTGGCATGTGGTGCTGGGGGATTGAACCGCGGTCCCTGTGCTTTGCCAA